CTATATGCTGGTTTGTAGGCTGAGAATCATCCTTTTCTCCTAACAAATGAAGGCTGGATTGTAGCTTCTCTATTTTCTGGTAATAAGAAAAAGACATTATAAGAGACCTGTCAGTACTTTGAAGAGAGTGAACTTGTGCAAATGGAGCAAGGCACAAATTCCAATGTACAAATTTTCCCGACTCTCCCCTTTTTGAAGGATAAATTTTGAGCTGACCCCCTACCCCCCTCTCACACATCCCTTTCTAAATGTTTTATAAGAGCAAAATCATTGACCCTGCATTACCCTTTGCACCACGTCTAAATACCGGTAATTAACAGTCCCAAAGGTTTATGTCATTCACAAAAGAAATCACAAATGGTTTAAAAAAAAAACAAGTAATAAATCACTTAGGTAGAACACTTTCCTATTGATTAGATAGTGATTCACATAACTTTTGGAAAAACAAACCAGATATGAAATTTTTTTAAGGGGAAAATGCTGATTCTGAAGCTGAGTTTTCTCTGGGTTTTGCTTATCCTGTATCGCAGACAAAATCCAACCCCAATTAGTAACATCAGAGAAGCAGCACCAAGATCCTTGTTCTGGGACCCAAATGGACTCAACAAATTTCTTGAAGTGTGTTTTGAATTTCCTTTCATCCTGATTGGCAAATCAACAATGACTTTTTCAACAGGCCAATCATGGTGTGTACTCAAATCCTGGTACACAGGTGGGGACCCAGAACAAGGATTTCAGTGCTGTTTTGTAGCAGTAGACGTTACTTATCAGGGTTTAGTTTTGTCGCTGGCACAGGCTAGGCTTTGCTGTGTTTTGGAGAAGAACAAAGCACAAGGCCAAAAAGTTGAGTTGACATCTTCTGTAAAACAAAAATTGTATGAAGTAGGGAGCAGAGCATAAAGGCAAAAAGGGAAAGGAAAGTTGAGAATGAAAAAGATTCTTTATATTTAGTCCATCAAGCAACACAGGCCTCTTGATCTTCTTTTCTTAGTACACCACTGATAAAAACTATGTGAGTTACCTTTGCCTCCATGGACCTTTTGGAGTTGATATAATTAAGATCTTGAGTTTTCATCAGTTTTAGTGCATCAGCAGTGTGTTTCTTTTTTCTTTTGATGGTATGTACTCCACCCTTTAATTGAGATACACATACTGTCTTATACAAACGTTTCTAAAGTTTCACTTTAAAATATCTTTAAAGACATAATTATTTTCCTGAAATTCATTTTATAACAGTTGGACTTATTTTGAACAGTTGGACATTGTGGCAGGCAATTAATTTAATCCCTCTTTACAGTTGTGTTAAAGCCATCAAATGATCCCACTTTAAAGTTTTTCTATAGAGTTTGATCATAACCAGGAAAAATACCAACATTTTTACTCCTTGACCAAATTATGACAGGACAATTATTTCTCCCTTTAACTTTAAAATCTGTGGACAAAATCCTATGGTGTTACCACTCAAATCAAACCTCTCAAATTTTGAGTCTGTGGGTGAAATCCTATGGTGTTACCATACATAAGAACTAATTTTTGTAAGGAGTTTATAAAACGAAAATTGGAATGCTTCTGAATTTTTTACCGCGCCCACTATTAAAAGTGAAAGGGTTAAAAAATACAGCTATTTTTCTAAATCGGTATGAAGTGTTGTCACTACTTAAAATCATTCCAGTCATATACAAGTCAAGAGCTTGAAAGAGACCTTCTTCCAAAAAAAACGCTGGTACTTACATTTGTTTTGTTCCTGATCATCTTGAAATAGAATTCATCTGGATTTCTGTTCAGTGCCTAAGGCAATTTAAAAAACAAACAGAGGTTTAACTTATTATATCATGTAAACTAATATTAAAATATTCTAAAAACAATAGAAAACCAAAGTAGGCTATTAAAACCTTTCAAACATCTAAGAGGAAGATTATTAAGGCAGGCCTTCTGTAGATAGGGTGTGAAAATGTAGAGTTTATATGTGACATTGGCCAAATTAAATTTTCAAAGGGCTTTGAAGGCACTTTTGCTAAAACTTATTAAACTCTGATTTAGAACAGTCTGTCACTGGGTATAGAACAGGACAAAAGAAAGAAATTTTCAGAAATTCAAACTGCAAAGTTCTGTCTGCTGTTTTGGTCAATACCAGTTTGAAAAATTCTAGATCAAGCACTTACAGATGTAGCCTCTGAACAGCAAAATGTTGACCCATGACTAAACAAAGTCATAACACAACAGCTGGCATTTTGACTAAAACTACTTCAACAGCCCCTATTTACAATCCTATCGCTTTAAAATTCAAAGGACAAATGGGCTGCAAATCATTTACCTTCTCTCTGAGGATTTTAAGCCTGTTTTGTTTGCTGTGGTAATCTCTAAAATAAAAGAAAAAAGATGCATAAATTAAAAAAATACAGTTGATTCTCAATAAGGGCAAGTCCAGAGCTCTAAACACTTAACCATGCCACCTCGTTCAGCCGAGATTTGAACTTTGACCTCTGTAATACCGGTGCAGTAGTCTAACCAATAATATTGACCTAGCAAACCAACTGTGAGCTGGTCATTAAATTGACTCATAATATACCCAAGAAAGATAAAGATATAGTAAAAACCTGTGTGTAAGAACCTGGTGGCTTAAAACCTGTTGGCAGAAATTTTGCCATTTAAATACCCAAAAATATAAGAACCTGTTTAGCCACGTAAGATCACACAGGTTCGTATATCTGGATTGCAGTAAAATTATGATAAACAATTTGAACCATTACCATTACTGTTTATTTCAGGACCAAACCCAAGTTTATGTATTTTTCTAACCCAACCCTGAAACTATCTCCTTCTTAGAGATTAAGAACCTACTTAGGCTAAACTGCCAATAACTATCCCAAAATAAAAACACCTCTTTTGCTAGACTTAAAAAATGTAGGCTTTTACACATGGGTTTTTAGTGTAACAAATAATGTAAAATGCTTTCTAACATACCCCAAGTCTTTAACAGGACTTCAAGTTTAGGAATAGGGATTGTTGTGAGAGAATTTCAAAACGTTGCTTACTTCATTGCTTACTAGGTGGAGCATGTACAGGTTGTTGAAGCGTTAGTCACTGTCTACAACAGTCCTAAATTCAGGACTTTGCTCACCTGGAAGATCATACTCATCCTACTTATGAAATGACTCCTGGGTTCAAACCTTTCACAGCATTACCTATCTCATTTACTTGTTAGTTGGCATTTGGTGTATACTGTGTCCAATCTTGCCATGACCAAATTTCAACCCTTTCAGGCATGATCATAAACCCCTAAATTTTTGATAGAAAGCACCAGTGGCAGATCCAGGGGAGGGGGCCCGCCCTTGGACCAAACTGAGGCTCACAGGGCTGAAAAAACATTTTTTGAGACCCCCCCCCCCCCCCCCCCCCCCCCCCCCCCCCGCACCACCAAAAATATTTTTTTTTTTTTTTTTTTTTTTTTTTTTTTTTTTTTTATAGAAAAAAAAAGGAAAAAATAAAATAAAAAATTTGTAAAAAAAAATTTTTTTTTTTTTTTTTTTACATTTTTTTTTTTTTTTTTT